TTCGAATCACCAAGTACTGACTACCGAGTGCCGAGACCCGAGATTCGGTACTCGGACTCAGTACTCGACACGATGCTCGAAACTCATAAAACTGTTTCGAATCACCGAGTACTGACTACTGAGTACTGAGTACCGAGTACCGAATTTCGGGTCTTGGTACTCGGTATTCGGTACTCGACACGATGCTCAAAACTCGTACAACTGTTTTGAATCACCGAGTACTGACTACCGAGTACTGAGTACCGAATCTCGGGTCTCGGCACTCGGTAGTCAGTACTCGGTGATTCGAAACAGTTGTACGAGTTTTGAGCATTGTGTCGAGTACCGAGACCCGAGATTCGGTACTCGGTACTTGGTGGTCAGTACTCGGTGATTTGAAACAGTTTTACGAGTTTCGAGCATCGTGTCGAGTACCGAATACCGAGTACCGAGACCCGAGATTCAGTACTCGGTACTTGGTATTCGGTAGTCAGTACTTTCGAGTTTCGAATTTTGAGTTTGTTTCCAATCTTTTGTCTCGCATGCCGAGTGCCGAATTCCGGGTGTCGGGTGTCAATACTCGGTTCTCAGTACTCGGTACTCGGTGATTCGAGTCTCGAGACTTGTGACTCGTGATTTACAAATCGACATTTGAAACTTGTGATTTCTGAGAACAATGTGTATTATCTTATGTATTTCTGTACTCATTTCACCGACTACCGAGTGCCAAATCTCAGGTCTTGGGTCTCGGTATTTCAAGACAACAAAAATGTATATCATCTTAAATTTGAATTTTCTTAACTCGAGCCTCGAAACTCGTAAAAATGTACAATACCTAGGCCTATCTGTCTATATGATATGTATCTGGGCCCACCCGTCTATCTAATACATAATTCACCTCACCCTTGGCCCACCTGTCTATCTAATATTACCCGACGTCGGCCCACCCATCTATGTAGAATTCCCCACGTCGGCCCACCCTTCTATCTAATATGACCCCACGTCGGCCCACCCATCTATGTAATAAATAATTCCGCTCACCCTCGGCCCACCCGTCTATCTAATATTACCCAATGTCGGCCCACCCATCTATGTAGAATTCCCCACGTCGGCCCACCCGTCTATCTAATATGACCCCACGTCGGCCCACCCGTCTATGTAATAAATAATTCCCCTCACCCTCGGCCCACCCGTCTATCTGATATTACCCCACGTCGGCCCCACCCGTCTATCTAATATTACCCCACATCAGCCAACCCGTCTATGTAATAAATAATTCCCCTCACCCTCGGCCCACCCGTCTATCTGATATTACGCCACGTCGGCCCACCCGTCTATCTAATAAATATTTCACCGCTCCCTCGGCCCATCCGTCTACAAAATAATACTAATACGTCGGCCCACACGTCTATATAATACTATTTGCTATACATCTCTCCTCAGGTCTATAATATATGTCAATCCTACTCTACATATTACCCACATGGGCCCACCCATCTCCATAATAATATTTCTCCCGGCCCATCCGCTATCATCGATGATATATATAACATTAGCATAGATGGGCCCCCACCCGTCTCCATCGGAAATAATATGCCTCCCGGCCCACCCGTCAACATCGGGAATATACATAACATCGGCCCATAATCCGCTGGCCCGTATTACACGGGATATTATGTAGGTCGGGTGACCCGTATAATACGGGATTTGTCACTGAAGGGGCTCACATAATATCCAACTACCTCGGCCGATCCATCTATTGAAAATTCATGTCCATCAGCCCACCCATCTACTTTACATATTCCCCACCTGGGCCCACCCGTCTCCATCGGGAATAATAACACTCCCGGCCCATCCGTCACAGTCGAGGATATATCTACCCTCGGCCCATGGTCCGCTGGCCCGTATCATACGGGATATTATGCACGTCCATCCACTCGTATAATACGGAGATATGTTACTGCAATATGTGACTGTCTGTGGGTTATCTGTCCTATGTGCTAGAATATTAAAATGAAACCTAAAACGAAATCTCTGGTCGAAGCCCAGGGAAAACGAATGTTATCCTACAAAAGAATGGCAGTGTTTCTTCTGGTATTATGAGGTATGTGCGGTGATAAGGTAGGGATGCGCTGTGGTGGGGCGCGCTCTAAGGGGTTTCTTCATCTTCTTTCTTCTTCCTTCTGCATAAACCGCGACTTCCGCGCTCATAGAGGCAAAATGCGATGCTTGCGTGGGATGGCCGGTGATATGGGATAGGGATGGTGCAAGGTTGGCAATGGCGTATGGTCAGAGAGCGCTTGAAGGGCGTGAAGAGTGCGCGCATGAGCATCTGGTTGACGGTAATCTGCTGCAAGGTACTTGAAATGCACTTAGTGGGGAGTGCAGGGCTAAAAATGTGATATTGAGAGGCAATTCCAAGATTAGTTTCACAAGCATAAGCGCATTGCGCGGTCAGGTGCGCGCAGAGCGTGAGAATACTAAGCGTCGGTGGCGAGTCTAGGCCAATATGGCTGCGCTTCAAAGGCAGATAGCTGGTAACTGGTGTGAGGATCAAAACGGTGTCAGTAACAAAAATGCGGAACTTCCATATGTCAAAGGCGCATTGAGCGCTCAATGAAAACGCATGCAGATCATCAAGGACATTGTCCTGAACAGCCTGATAGGCTACGGGCGGCAACATGGCAATAGGCACTTTGCTCCTTGAGAGCTTTCGACGTATAACAACCATAAATCGCGTTAACTGAGGAACATTCGTACAAACCATTAGCGCATTTGAGCGTGTTTCTTCCGGAGTGGTTCTAGCGTGGTCAAGGTATGCGTCTTGGTCGTCTGGAACATGATCCATGTGATGCGCATCTGATGCACCACTTGGACATTCGGTTGAAGAGCATGAACTGCTATCATTAAAAAACGCGGTTTCGTCAGTAATGCACGGATTGTCAAGGGGCATACTCTGGTCAACTGGTGTCGCAGATTGAAGCTCTGGCACTGCAGGAGGCACCTGATTAGGCGCGCTAAAGTGCGATGAGCATACCAGGTCAGATTGAGACATCAGAGCGAGGGGCAAAGGCGCAGTATCTTCTACGTCTGGATGGTGCGTTTCTTGGACTACTGGGGCAGGGATGGCGTCGTATGTTTCAGGAATTGGTGCGATGATTGCTGCTTCTGGTTGCTCTTGAGCGCGTTCTGGATGCGGAGGTGCGTTTGCAAGGGGCACTTCAATGGTGGCTGGTTTTTCGAAGATAGGGCACTTATAGTGGCAAACACCACATTCTGGCCAAAAATCCAAGACGTGGTCAGCAAATTCCACGTAGTTGTCAAATTCGCGGTATGAGAGAAGCTGCCTGTGTTTAGGCGCTGTATACTTCAGTGCATACTTAATGATCTCTTTGTCTGTTAAACCAAGCAGTTGCGCGAGTCGTTCTACTGACTCCAGGAAGTTGACGAGCTGAGTACCATTGCCTGCAAAGCGCGGCGCTGAGTTGGCTATTCGAAGGGGCATTCCGGATGAATCTACTGGGTCGTACATGGCGTGAAGATGGTCGCGTTAGGCGTGGAAAAAGCGCGGATTGAAAAGTGTGGATGGAGGAGCGCAGATGGAGTGTGTAAATGCGCGTGTCGTATAAAGGTCTAGGAATGAACTGGTTGCTGTGTCAGATGGCCCCCTTGCGGTGGGCTCCAGTTGAGGCGATCTCAACCTGGCTGGGCTGATATGAAATATCTAAAAATGCTCAACCAGTATAAGTGAGTCTTGGCTCTGCCTAGCTGCTATACTTGCAGAATGCAAGAACGTTCGACCCTAAAGGGGAAGCAAGGAAAGCAAGGATCCACGGAATGATGCTGATCAACCCTGGTGAATGGCGGTGAAAGCACGAGAAACGCGCTGAAGGCACGTGCGGGAAAGCGGAATGCGAAAGTGCGCGAAGCGCGGGAAGGTAGTGCAAGCGGTGCACAAGTGTAGAAGATGGATACTGAGACTGATAAGAGGAAAAGTGTGAATCTAGACAGATACTGATGGTGCCACTAGCTATAGACTGATGCTAGGGCCTCAAGATGATGATGGATACATGCATTGCATGGAACTGACTGGTGATAGATACTGAGTGGTAGGAAGGTAAGGTGGAATAGTTGGGTGTAAAACGAACATGAGAGTATGTAAGTTCTACCTAAGCGCTCTCCCAGGGCTTGGAGCTGAATAGGGAGCACTCTAAGTATGTAAATGAGGTAAGGTGATGTAAAGTAAGGGTGCATAATGAAATGGGAAGTGTAATATGCTAAATATGGTCAGATAATGAAAAGGGACATACCGAGGGACTGGTTGGACAATGGATGGATGCTCCTGGATGCTGTGCGACATAGTGCGCTTAAGTGCGAGAAAGTGCGCACGCGGGAATACTGCGCATTGTGTGGGAAAGTAGTGCGCCTATGGCACATTTCACAGGAAAGTGTTTCGCTCTATAGGGAAGTCATTGTGGATGATGGTGCGCATTGTGCCATGAAGGCCAGTTGTCAGAATTCGTAAAATGAGCCCATATGAGCCCACAGAAACGCGAGTCTCTACACCGGTTATAACCGGTTAAGAGGTTAGTTAGATGGATCTGTGATTTTGGGAGGGTTAGTAGGGTTAATGTACTAGGAGTTAATTGGGTTAATTGGGGGTCACCAAACTTTTAATCGTTATCATCAATCTCTCCAATTCTCTCTGTGCCAGCATCCTGGGACTGTATTACCTCTCCAAGCCGCTCCGATGGGTAGGGAGAAGTCCTGGCTGTGGGATCATTTTCATCAGGGGACTGTGAAGGTTGACAAAGTGCACTGGCAAGCACACTGTAAATATTGTGTCAATGTGAAGGCTAAAGATCTCGCAAATGCTGATCAACAGGCTGTTGCACACGGAATACTGCAGGCTGTCAGAACTTTCACAATTTTGACGCAGGAAGGTGAGTTTTTGTCAATCGATGCCATGTAACATAAATGATTAATGTATACTGTATAACGGACTCAAACAGCATGTGATAATGTCCCTTATATTGCTGGAAAGGTCGAAATCATGGCAAAAGGAATACATATTGGGGTTAGGACAAGTAGTTGAGGTTGAGGATGACATCTCAGGCATTTCAGATTCGGAAAGTAGCAGGCAGCGACTTGGACAAATTTGTTGCTTCTTCAGTCAGAAGAGAATGTTTTGCATCCGCGACATGTTCAATTGGTCTGTTGAGGTTGGATGGGACGAGTTTTGGTTCCAGGGTGTGAAAAACATGGAGAGTGAGGCTTTATTCTACGAGCTAATTTCATGCCTGCCCGAGGATGAAAAAGTACTAGTAGGAATGTCCCAGGGGAGTCATCAGGCATGGGAAATAGTCCATTGAGTTCAATCGTTATTGACAACTCAGAGTAGCTAGCACTTTGAAGTAATTAACTGTTTTAACCCCATTAACCCCAGTTATTTTGCAGTTAATTCAAATCAAGACGCACCAGTTTAGGCTATACTGTCAGATTGAAGCATCAATAAGTCTGGTAAGACATAGGCTGTGATGCACAATGTGTCTAGTTCCTTGATGTCTGTAGCTTGATGCATCATGAAGCATCAAGCTACAGACATCAGGAACAATACCCATTTTGAACAGGTACACTCTTGCTGGCTTCTTGACATCTGTAGCTTGATGCTTCATGAAGCATCAAGCTACAGACATCAGGAACAATGCCCATTTTTGGGCGAAACATGGCATCATGGGAAAGTGTGGGGCTTCAGCGCAGAGATGCACAGAAGCCCCACACTTTCCCATGATGCCTTGTTTCGCCCATTTTGGGCAGGTATGCCTTCCTGGCTTCTTTGCCGTATTTCTTGCTGAAGCTTCACTCTCTCCTATGATGCTTTGTTTCACCCATTTTGAGCAGGTACGTCCTTCCCTGGCTGTCTATGTTGAAGCATCACGCTTTCCCACGATGCTTCAGATCTTTTGTTTCACTCACTTTGAACAGGTACGCCTTCCCGGCTTCTTTGCGTCTCTGTGCTGAAATATCACGCTTTCCCACAATGCTTCAGATCTTTTGTTTCACTCATTTTGAACAGGTACACCTTCCTGGCTTCTTTGCGTCTCTGTGCTGAAATATCACACTTTCCCATGACACTTCAGATTTCTTGTTCACCCATTTTGAGCAGGTACGCCCCTTCCCAGATCTTTTGTTTCACCCTAATTAGCAGGTACATCCCTTCCTGGGTTCTGTCCCCGGCTTTTTCAGGCTTATTGCCTCCATCCCCGGCCTTTCTCCCCCTTCTCAACAGTTCTTGACCCTGTCTAGCTACCAGTGTAATTTTTCTCACCAAGTCTGTCACTGTGACGCCGAACGAGAATCATGATTCGCCATTCCTACTTGAAATTTCACTAAGTCCTGTCCATAGTATGTACAAACATGTATACAGCACTGTGCACATGAAATGTTGTCAAGTCCAGCACATATATACAAGTCCAGCACTGTGCATATGATAGACAATGAACTTACTTGTGCGCATTAAATTTTCACTAAGTCAGACGCTGAAAATACTCTCATATCCAGAGAATTATAGGCAAGGAATCAATGTGTATTAATGAGTCGATTGTGCCCCGAAGGGTTATTACAATACGTGCAGTATGTATGGACTGGTATAATGAAAGCATTGCTACAAAATATTGATGGGCAGGCAACTCAGGTGCCGGATTTGCGTTTCCTGTCATAAAATTAGCACTGTCCAAGTCTAATGGTGACAGGAAAAGCACTTACTTCTTTTGAGTGGCGTTCTCCACCTCGCCTGTCCTAAGTCTCTTCGCACTCTCACCTATCATGTTCGCTTGTGCCATGCGTGTTGACTCCTGACAAACCCGACCTGTCTTCCGGAGAGGGATATCGACTGAGGGGGATGGGTTAGTAGAAGATTGGGTAGGCTGTGGATGGGTAAGTGCTGCTGGGGTAGGCGCTGCTGGGCTAAGTGCTGCTGGGGGGGTAGGTGCTGTTGGGGTAGGTGCTACTGGGGTAGGCACTGCTGGGGTAGGTGCTTGTGAGGTAGGTGCTTGTGAGGTAGGCACTGCTGGGGTAGGCGCTGCTGGGCTAAGTGCTGCTGGGGGGGTAGGTGCTGTTGGGGTAGGTGCTACTGGGGTAGGCACTGCTGGGGTAGGTGCTTGTGAGGTAGGTGCTTGTGAGGTAGGCACTGCTGGGGTAGGCACTGCTGGGGTAGGTGCTTGTGAGGTAGGTGCTTGTGAGGTAGGCACTGCTGGGGTAGGCGCTACTGAGGTAGGCACTTCTGAGGTAGGTGCTGCTGTGGTATGCGCTGCTGGAGTAAGTACATCATGAGGGACTGGAACTTCCCGTGTGATGCCAGGAGTGGTGAAAGAACAGCCATCAAAGTTGAACATTGGCACTGTCAAAGGTGCAGTGGGAGATGTCATCAGGGTCGAATTACTCATCATATTCCAAAATTCGAAGTCCTTCCTCCACAATGTGATGGGAGTATCAGGCAAAGGAGGTGCCAAAGGAGGGTACCGATGACGTCAACAGAAATGCAGGGAGCATGGGTGTTTGGGGTGGTTGGCTGGAAATGCTGGTATCGAAATCCCAAGAGTACGGGTTGTCGAGTCCTTGTGAGCTGATGCGTGAGGGCCCTGGTGAGTCGAAGGGCAGCAGGCTCTCGGGGACTGTCATCGGGGTCACTGCAGGCGATGAGAGAGCCACCTGCAATGAGGTGCTTGCATCCGACATTGTCGGACCCTCGGCCTCTTGATGCAATGAATTCCCTTCTTGTTCCGCAGGGGGCATGTAGTCCAATGCACGCTTCTTCCTGTCATCCTCAGCTGTACATTTCATTAGTCAATAAGTCTTTAAAAGAAAGAAAAATACATACTAAAAACTGTCCCAAGATAGCTTAGGTATGGGTTGAGATGCTTGTCCGTGAAATTCGAAGTTGCCTGCTTCCACATAAGGCCAGCTTGATTCACACCTGTGTGGTAGCTAAAAACAATTTGCATTAAGAATGGGGAATGTGCATATCAGAACCTACATACCTCGATACATAAAGCATGCCCATGAGGCGAGGATCAGGGCCTCCACCAATGACTGTCCACTCCCAACCTGTTAGCTGTCTCACCCCATCAAAAAATTGTGATATTGGGCCAATACACTCCTCTAGCGTTCTGATTAATATGATAGTGTGAGCAAGACATAGAGACAGACAAATTTCACTCACTTTGCATACTGCACGTTGGTAGGTGTTCTGGTTGCCACACCTTCGGAGAGGATGGTAGAAGCCTTGGCTTCACATTCTTTGGCAGCCTTCGCCTTGCATAATAACTGAATTTCTAACGGTGCGGCCTCATATGCCGCTTTCAGTCGACTCCCTGACTGCCATCAATTTCTCGTTCTTAGTTACGAGCAAGCCACACTTGATTTTCTCCTTGATCTCCGACCGTACAGTAGTGTCATAGTTCATTTTGGAAAATATTTCCACCTCAGTATGAACCCGAAGTTCCTTTTGCCTTGTTACTGATCATCTTGGTAATTGATTTTGTCATTGCGTTGAGTTGTGACCGACCACTTTTGCAAGATCCATAATTGAACCAATTTTTGAGTTGCTGTTTTGAAATGAGCATCTTTTTGAGTCAAAAATCAAATTCATCGTTATTGACCTTCTTGCACGCCTCAATCGCCTTTCCCAGTTCCATATTCTCAGCCTCGCTAGGCTCCAAAGGTGTCCTGTCTGGGTACAGCACATTGATTTCAGGCCATCACTGTAAGAACTCTGCACTAACGTTAGACCAGAAGTTCAATAAAGTACCCTGAAGCTGCTGTTTCAGGAACTCGCTGAATTGAGACTCAAGGTAATTCCTTTGTTCAGCGCTTGTCCAGTGAGATCCAACCATCTGTCATAATAATTGTAGCATGATCAATGACAGCATATTAAAGGTGTGTCATCACCACCTACCTTGTCTTTTTTTGGTCTGCATTTGGTAAGTCGGCTGGAAAGCTTTAAAGTGCTGTAATCAATCTCAGCAACTGAATGGGATGATTTTAGACACAGCTTACTTTTGTTTTGCTTCTGGTGGGCCGGCTGTAAGATTTTCAGGTAGTTCAGGCACATTTGACCAAACTAAACATACAGTCAAGCCTCAAAATAAGGTTCAGCCATCTATGAGGGACCAATCATGTTCTTTTATTTCTATAGTACATAGTGTCAGGAGTTATATTTCATATTGTATACATATGTATATATAGACCATGACAAACCCAAAATGAAAAGCTACCGCTGTCAAGATGTCCTCACTGTCATATACCATATTCCTGGGTACAGATCCGATCCAGATCCGATGGACATATCCGTCGTCCGGTCCACAGATCCGATCTAATCCTTGTTTCATGTCCTGTTCATATAACTCTAACTATCGTTCATCTCCTTTCAGGCATTCCTGTACACCGGTATACCGGTTATCCTTTACTTCTGTTATGCTTACTGATCCGCTACACTTACTGATCCGCTTTAGCTTAGACTTCATTCCCGGTTATGATTCGTTATCCATCCGACTTACCGATATGCTGTACACATACTTTGCTTATACTTCGTACATAGCCTTGCATCCTTGCTTATTGATCATTCCGTTAGTTATCCGTAGTATATAAACCCTTGTACATGCGCTGTAGTAGATCAGTTTGAATATCATCTTAGACTGCACTCATTCTGTCTGGACTCTAAGTCCATCCGTTATCCGTCCGGACTTGAGTACGATACTCTTGTCTACTCCGAGACTTAGGATTGATCCCTATAGTCTATATATCCGTCTCTGTATTCGGACAGTCCTCGCCTGTTAGTTTCTAGTTCGGATCCAATCCGGATTAGCCGTTACTATATACGTTCGATATCCGGAAGCCATAACGGATCCGTTACAAGACTTATCCGTCTCAATATACGCGATACTTTAGTACTCTGAAATAAGGGGCAAGACTCGGGAAAGGGGCACAGCGCACGAGCTGAGGCCGAAGCCCTTCGGATCCAATACCACTTGAGTACGGTCTTAACACCTCACCCCCATTTAGCAGTAACACGTATTCATTTTCAAATGACCGATTCAACTTGTACCTGTACGGTCTGCATCCAGCCGTGCACTCCATCCTTGGTGGAACCACTAACCTTCACTATCAACGAGCTTGCTGCCGCTCTGCAACTCATCAGGGACCAGGATGGTGAGTAAATTCTGATTCTTTTCCTTGATACTCAATGTTCCATATTATCTACACAGAAATCTTCCAAGCGCACAACAACTCTGCTGCCGAACTGCATTCTCCTCACACAGACTGTTGCCCTGCTTGTGTTTTCCGTGCCCACCGCTGCCAGTGTTACGTCTGCCATGCTGAAATTCTTGGTGAACCTTGCAAAACTGAATCCCAGCCTGGTACCGCCGGTGAGTGATTTCCTCTTCGCAAAGTTCTGATCCTGATTTTTCATTTGATGGCAGCATCCACGCTGCTGTGGCTGAGAGTATTTGTTGAGTAAATGTGCAGTTTCATGTGTCCCAAAGTGCTCGTGCGCTCAGTAATGAATGCTTTTAGCCTTAAGTCAGACTAAGTATGGAGTAACGGAAGTCACACGCCTGGCCGTATTCTTTTGTCAACCACAAGCACTGTTATAGTGCTACAATACTCAAGTAATTACACTCCTCTCTGGGATTTCTTCTTCGACTTCATGCCACTGAAGTATAAGAACGAGCAACAACGTCACGATGCCCGACTGAAATCCAAGCGCAGGTGTTATGAAAGGTAAGCCTCCCGAGTCTAAATTTCAGTAAGTAGGTATGACAGTATTTCATGTAGGCACAAGCTTGATGAGCGCTTGAAGTCTAGGACTTGTTGGTGCAAGCATCTGGGAGCTACTGTGGTGTGTACATCATATACTATCAAATTTACACCTCACACTGACCGGATAAACCATGAGACAGGCTACACAACATTTTCTAGCACGACTAGATTTGATATGGCTCAACCTTGGCTATCAGCCGGGCCATTCTCAATACACCGTTCTCCAGTCACAGGGCCTTATGCTTGTCCACGAGGTGGATGACAAAGGTTGGCAGGTTGTAAGACCAACTTATGAACACATAGTAGCAGAGGCGCAAGAACTCCTTTCAGAGGCCAGGGAGGTGCTTGCAGGCGCTCTACATGCAGAAGGTGCATGTACATGCCATCTTATCTCAAGGTCTGCAGCCGCTGTTGATGCAGTGGAGCTGCATTGTGATGTATGGGATGAAGCACTCTCATTAATGGATGATAGCCCAGATACGTACTTTGAAGCTCTCATGTCTGATCAGTTGGTGTGGCAGAGGGCATTAAAATTATAACTAACAGATATTAGCGTCTCTGTAACTACTCCCTTAAGTTCGAAATCACCGCGTCCTTACATTATGTATGTGCTATGTACCATGTGGTTGTGTTGCTGTTGCGCAGTGTCTTGTATGTGCTATGTACCACATGATCGTGTTGCTGTCGTGCAGTGTCTGGAGTCTGGACTCTGTATTGCTCAGCTCTGTAAGCTGTTAAGTATATGTACCACGTGATTGCATTGATGATTGTGCTGTCATGCAGTGTCTGTTGCCTCACACCATGGTTAGTAAAAAACAACGCACATTGGACAAGCTCAAGCAAAATTGGTCTATCAATGATCATCATCAGCAAGCCCAAATCCAGTGTAGCCAAGGAGCGCAGGCTTTACCACAAACATTCTTGCTTCACTCGTACATCTTCTGGCAACATAGCCTCTGAAATGGAATTCTTTGTAGCTGAACATGAGCCATCTTCAGTCACCTCTCACCCACCATCAGGATCCGACATAATTATGGAAGATTTCGGGTTTGATTCACATACGCACACTGACATTGAACTTATAGACTATGATGTGGTGGATCCTGCATATGAGAATTTTTTGAAGGAGTCTACTGTTGTGCCAAAGAAACGTCTCAGGTCGAACTGGTGTATGATACATTTTTACCGTATGATATCTTAGTTTAACTTCAACTGTACAGGACCGCACAATGGCTCTCTGGCTTCATGAGCGCAAAAACTATCTTCTTGAGTTTATCAGACTCGAAGAATGTGGGGACTACGCATCCAGGGAAACTTGCCAAGGGCACAGTGAATGTGAATCTGAGCCTGGATATTGTTGCCGGGATTGTTTTGGGACAGAGCTCTATTGTCAAGAGTGTATCGTCAACAGGCACCACAAAAAACCCTTTGCACAAGATCAAAGTATGTACCCTATTTTACAATTCTATAGTTCCGTGCTAATCACCCTTCAAGTTCTGGAATGGTTCTTTCTTCGAGGATACCACACTCAAGTATCTCGGACTCCGTGTCCAGCTTGGCCACCCGGTTGGCGAGCGATGTTTCAACCATTCACGAGCCTATGATGATGATTTTAACATTCTCGACATTAATGGTATCCACAAACTCGCCTTAGATTTTTGTGCATGTGAGAGTGCACTAAGTCACATTAACCAAATCCTGCGAGCTCGCTGGTATCCTGCGACCAGCATAGATCCTAAATCAGCAGTGATGTTCCATCTTCTAGAGCATTTTCACATGCTTACATTCGAGTCCAAAGCCTCTGCCTTCGAATATTGGCAAACCCTGGTGCATCTTACCGATAATACAGGCATCAAGCCATGCAAGGTAAATAGTAGCGTGTCTCAATGCAAGTGTGGTTCGCTAACTATGTATTCCTTAGGATCGTTATGACAGTCTTTTGCGCATGATCAAACAATGGCGTAATCTTAAGCTCTTGAAGTGATTCGGCCGAGGTCATGATCCCGCTGGCATCAATGCGACTGAACAGGGCTCATGTGCTGTGGTTTGTCCTGCATGCCCCCACCCAGGCAAGAACTTACCAGAAGACTGGAAAGCAGCACTTCTGGACAAATGGTATGTGTTAACGTCCTTGCTTGATTAGCTTACTTATGCCTGCAGGTGGCTGTATGCACAATTTCTGGCCATTGATGTGAATTTCCGCTTGGCACGCAAGAACGTTTCCTCAGACAGGATTGACCCTGGTTTGAGTAGAGGATGGGCTTATTTCGTCGAGGAGACTGGATTCAAAGGATTCCTGACCAATGTTGGAATGGTACCACAAGAGGTATGTTAGCGTTATTTTTTTCAATACAATTACTCAAATGTCTGGTCTAGAAAAGCACGTGTGCTAGTCACAATGCCGTGAATCTTGCTGAAATGAAGAACTTGCGAGGATTGGCTGCAACTGGAGCTGGGACTGTGGATTGTTCTCGTCACAACTTCAAGTGGCCATGTGGAGTAGGTGACCTTCAGAAGGGTGAAAAGTATGTATTCGAAAATGTGAAATGTTTCCCGCTGATTCATTGAAACAGGTATATCAATATGGATTACCTATTCTTCTCAACCGTGCAACATTCTGAAGATATTGTTGTATTGAATGTGTCTTATGATATCGCTTGCCAGTGGAGCAAAAACCTATGGGGCCGGATGTCGAAATACCCATCACGCATGCACTTTGCGTGTGGACGGTAAAATCATGACCTTTCTTGTTCCAAAATTCCACTTGCCTGTCCACATCACTGCATGTCAGATAACATTTCACACAATTTCACCAAGGGAATGGGGTGCACAGATAGCAAGGCTCCAGAATGAGGTTGGGCCAATATCAATCCCGTGGCCACAAGTACATGAGAGATGGGTCCTGGGGGCTCGTCGTGATACACTGGATGATCATTTCGGCGACTACAATTGGAAGAAGGTTACGAACTTCGGTACATGTTATTGACTTCAGCGCACCCAACCTAAATAACCAAGAAAACCCTTAGGTGTCAGTTTACTGAGTAAAATGAAGACTGTGATTCCTGAACGTGACCAACACCAACAAGATTTTGACGACTTTCACCTTACACTCATGGAAGAACGACCAGGTGAGGTGGCGCAGTGGAAAGAAGTTGTTGAAAACTGGGAGGGCGACGCTTCCAACAAAAACCCCTTCGAAATAACGACCATCAGTAGGTGTGATTTATGCTGTAGACTATTATGTTTATTGATCATATATTGCCTTGACACAGGCTGCTGTGCGCCTTAGACTCTCTCAACAGGAAGCTGAAGACCTCGAAAGAGGTTTCAACAATTCACTACACACGGAGGTGTCACCCAGCATACTCATTTCATCAGGAATGGACCTCGAGGAACAACAGTAAGTTTGTCGAAGTATTTTAATTAGTACTTTCTAATAAAATGATCTACAGATTTCACCTGCAGCAAGATCATAACACTTGGAGTGGCCATCCGACAGACTTGCAGCTGACAAAGCTACAAGAGCATTCAAATGCACTGCTGCGCAAGATAGAGCAGTGGTGCAATGTCCAACTGCTCTACATGCCTGCCGTCGGCCGCCTATGAGCATCTGAAATGGCGGAAGCACAGTCAGCTCGCGAGGAGAAGGCCTATGAAATCAAACTTTGGCTACCATCAAAGCTGAAGGAGGCAGCTGAGATATTGTGTGACACGCAGCTTTGTGAGTATGAATGGGAGTTGCGGCGTGCTCAGGCACATGAAGCTCACGATGATGTTCGCCGGCAACTTCGTCTTCGCGCACATCTCTACAAATTCAAGGAAGCCTACATTCACGGGCAATGGGCCAATCGGAAAAGTGGAGCAGACCATTAGGACAGCTGCTGCTCGGTATCGCAGGGCCTGGGCGGCAGTCAAGACACTGTCAGCAGTCCTGGACAAACCGAACTGGGAGGTAGAATTGCCCGAGTTGCTGGTGGCTGATGTTCGCGGGATGTCAGAGGGAGATATTGGCCAATCTGAAGGTAACCGCACACTTTTGTGGATCTGGAAGGCTTGTGGGGTGGCTGCAATGGGAGAAGATGGCGAGGCTGTTTTATCAGAAGGTACACATTTGCATTATTTATTGTACAGAGGAGCTGTCCTGACGTACCAGGCAGCATTGCATATTGAATGGTGCAAATTGAGAGCGCACGCCAATCGTTGGGCCGAAGAAGTCGAGCTCCTGCAAGAGGAGATGCGGCATGTAGCAAGCTTTCTTTCATGGCACACAGGGCAGTGGGAGGAGCAGGCAAATCGGAGGACTGTCCTACCTGCACCTGAACAGGAAGGGATCCAGGGATATGCGAAATGCCAGGCCGCTCTTTGAAGGGCTATGCGGGACTGATTTGAGAAGATGTGGAGTGTCGTTCCGGCTCTTCTCCAGTCCACGTTACCTGCAATATCTCTGCCGGTGTCGTAGTGCAGCTTTTTTTTGCCCTGTTTATAGCGTGTGTTGACTGAATAAGGAAATAATGTTTGTTCCCATTGATCGGGGGTAGCACCTTCCTGTGGGAGAAGCATCAACGATGGACGGGACTTGATGCTTCATCAATGAGGGACCATCAACAAGGGACCATCAGCAAGGGACCATCAGATGTCTCGGTTGATGCTTCATCAACAAGGGGCAGGAGCCTTGTCTCTAGGTTGATGCTTTATGGTAGGAGGGATTAGTAGGGTAGGCAGTGTCTCTAACTTGATGCTTCACTCTCGAAGGTTTAGAGTTGTTTGTGCATCAAGGTTGGTGTCTAATCTGATATTTTTAAGCCTCAATACTACAGGTACAGGTGACCAGTTATAACCTATTCAGTTATAACCTGGGTTAATAACAACACTGCTTGAAAGTGTCCTGTCTTGATCGATGCAAGTATGGTTTTCTCCGCTTTCCTCATCCCGTGTCTCCCCACTTTCCACGACTCATTGCCTTGCAGTCCCATCAGATGATCCACTTAACACTCTCCGACCATCTTGACTCCAGTAGACAGACCACGCTATTTTGGTGTGCCCCGTCCATTTAGCGACAACCATGCACGTGTTAACGTCCCACAACCTCACTGCACCATCCTTACCCCCGCTAACCATTTTCTTCCCGTCCAGAGACAATGCTATGGTCCATATTTGTCTTTCTCTACCCCTCCAGCCTTCTCCTATCTCGCTCCCTTTAACCACTTTCTTCCCATCCGGAGACAATGTTATGCTCTCTACTCTACTTTCTCTGTCTCTCCAATCTTCCCCTATCCAGTTTCCCGCTCTTCAAGTTCCATACCCGCAGTGAGCCATCCTCTGAACAAGTAATGATCCATTGTCCACCTGACAGGTGTATAACACCCCAGACACCATCAGTGTGTCCTTCAAATGTCTGGCGAGGCGTTATCACTGATCTTCCCTTCGTTTTGTAGTTGGTGAAGTGTAAGTAGTTCAGACTGTTGTCCCTTAACAGTTACGCCAAAAGGCAGTGATAATCAAAGCTCAAGCTCGATTATCTTGGACAGTATTTATGCTGATTATGGGAACTCAGGTAAGCAACAAGCTTACATGAAGCCATGCTTTAGAATCCCGACAATGGAATGCAACAGTATCTCAGCTTTTATTCATCAAATTTCAAAATCAGGACTTACGAGGAAGTCCCTCAGAAGCAATGGGTGGGCAACAGGGAATAATGGTTGTTTGGGTCAAGTCAGAGTTGAATACACGGCTTCATGGTACGTTATTGTACATGCTGTATCCTCGTGTTTATTTCATAGCTTATGCAGCATAGGCTGTGCAGCTGAAGCGCCCAAGTGTACCGGGTCACATTCCATGCAGACTCAATTTATGATTACCTAGTAGTCCTCAACCACTAGGGAAGATGAGAGATTGTTCGCTGCGATGCATTCTCAATGTCAGCTACTGTTGAATGTGACAATGAATTAGATATTGCAGTGAGTTGCGTTGCCTGTATGCTAGTACCTGTTACATCATCAAAAGTGCCCAGACCTGATGAGGCCTCAGAAGGCCTAACAAGACCATACACAACCTTGTGAACATTGGAAGGCCTGTGATGTCTCACGAGGAAATAGCCCTGTCTTGGATGGCTTTCTGAGAGCGCATCTAGGATGGCTTTTCGAGGGTATGCTAGGTAGGTTGACCTTGTGAGGCTGCTAAGGCTGTCGAAGCTTGCAAGGGTATACCAGGCCTTGCTAGATCACTTGAGACTTGTGTACATTAGAAGGCCCCAAGAGGCATTGCATTAGCATAGTAGTAACACTGGTATCTGAAATATATGAATTGCACGAAGTCCATATGGTAAAGTCCAAAGCAGGCATTAAGTCTGCATCAGCACAGGCAGTAAAGCGAGAAACAGAGAACGAAAGTGCAATGAGAGAGCCTCGGAAATGCAGTCCTAATAGCCATTAGCCCTCTTTCATACAGAGGTTCTTCGAGGAGCATTGGGATCGGTGATTTTCTTCCTCCCTCTCTTCTTTGTGGGAACAGGAGCTGTTGGAGTCGGCAGGGAGAAGTTGTTGTCATTGTCAGTCAGATCTGACAGTGGGGGTGAGGGGCATCGAGGGGGAGACACTGGCTGAGACTGCTAATCATAATGTCAATATAACGGAAAAAAAATGGTCCTAGCTGCATACCCGAATCACATTCAACGACTGCTCGGTCACATGCGCACTTAGTGAATCCTCATGCTCGTCGCGAGCAGCAGGGCGTTGAGGTTTCGGCTTGGGTTTCAGCTTAGGACGTGGAGGCTGATCCTCGTCATCATAGTGGACGGAGGCACTTGCAGGATGCTGAGGCTCGCTTAGCTGAGGTTGGTGTTCCTCTCCATCGGAACCTGTAGCTCCATGGACAGGTCGCATTGAAGTTGGAGCCTTGCCATGATCAGAAGTAGAGTATTGAGGTTTATTGAATCTAAGGGGCAATGGCACGTGGGGGTCGGATCGAGGCTGTTTGGGTTGCGCTACCACTTCCACCTCGTCGCCATCGTCATTTTCATCATCATCTGAAATAACAACATGGTGCCAGTAGTTGGGACTTGGGAGGTAGTGGGTGCTGTTGCCCATGCAGTCGAGGGTGGGTTGGTTGTTGCAGTCCTGCAACCTCTTCGTCGTCATCATAAACTGAGGCATGACGCTGAGCATTGGACTTGGCGTGGTGTGGTGAGGTGAGGGAAGGTCATCAGCCTGATCTCCAAAGTTGTTTGGGTGCATGTAGCATATCCCCATCATTGTTGTGTTCTATGGGGCGGGCTCATTTGCTGGTTGAGGGCTCTCAAGGCCTGTTAGGGTTGACCACATGTGATGGCGCTGTGAATCAAGTATCAGTAGCAGCATTGTATATAAATTCAAACATTACCATTGGATTTATCTAATGCAGAACGGTGTGCAGCTCGCTGAGCACGAATTTGAGCGAGATAATCCTCACTTTCCTTGCGTGTGAGCTTGGTAGAGTGCAAGTTGTCCTTGGTCGGTTTGAGGTGACTGCAAACAATTAGCACTGAACTGACCACACACAAAAATGTACCTGTTCCACCACATGAGGGTATCTTTGACCCACGGATTGCTGTCGTCATGTAGCATTTTGATGATAGCCCAGAGGAGCTCCTCCAGGTCCATATCGCCAATATACCGCATCCAGTGCTGAGTACTGCTTATCGTAAAGTATGCCTATGGGTTCATGGGAGGATTATTGCAATACTCGTACGTGGAAGGGTTAGACTTACAATGATATGCACATATGCAATAATGTATTTGTTGACTGCCGTCAAACCCCACGCACGGTTTTTAGATGGTTTGGCAGAGTTGTGAACATTTGATGAGTCGTTGGTGACAGATGAAGGCCCAATGAACAGATGCTTGTAAAACTAAAGACACTATAAATCAAAGATAATGTGGAAGATGATGACGTACTCGTATGGCAGTATGGTTTCGAAAGAGACCTTTTGTCTTGTCGGCAGCGTCGTAAATGCTGTCATCATAGAAGAACATCGGCCAGTTGTGTGCTGTCATGGTTATCTCTCCAGCTTGCATGGCAGTCATAGCGCTAAATATGCATCAGTACGAAGAATCAAAGAAAGAAAAATAAGCAAATGAATCAGGGTCCTCATCAAACCACTCAAGTTTTTTGCGGGGGCAAAGCAAACGAGCCAACTGGGGGTGGTTCAACCCACGCATCGACTTATCCTTGACTTCTGGAATCGGAGAATCGAGTGCATGTGCATGCTCCTTGCTATACATGTTAAGGGGAATATATTGGAGCCCCTTGTGCTTCACAGAGTTTAGATCCGCAGATCTGCCCTCGCTCATACCCTTCGCTACCTATCATGCAGAAGATCAGTTAGTATTAGGTCAGGTTCAAGGGAAAAAACAGGTGCATATAAGCATATATAGGTGCATATATGCGCATAGTCACCATCGCTATGACCACATTCAATTCTTTGCTGGTGATGTTGTCGAGCTCGCTGTCGAAACCAGGAATGAAGTCTATTATAGCATTGTATAATAGTAGATGATGCTCGGCAACATCTTGAGGTCTGTAGCAGCAAGTTAGCCATAATGTGAGATATAGAGATAATACACGTACTGTTTTGGGTCGCGCTTACCACCTCGGTTGAATGTAAGACCAGTCTTGAAAGCTGCAGCGGGTACTCTAAATGTATCAAGAAGGCTCAAAGCCTTCCTTCCCGCGTTTTGGTACAGTTCTGCATCATCCATTTTCGAATCTTCATGTTTCCTGCTGCCAAAGGTCAAAAATTTATCGTACAGTTGAAAATACAATACCTTGTAGTCTTCTTGCGAGAGCCTGATGATATGGAATTGATGAGGTCGTTGGTGCTGGTGTTACCAGAGGAATGCTTATGCTTGCGTTTGCCAGGCCTTGATGGTTCTGGTGACTCTGACCGCTTATTCTTGCGTTTTCCAAGTTTCACAGGCTCTGGAGAGGATCTGAAGGAAGAAATGCTAGTGCTTCATATATACATTGCATCTGAGTCAGGGGGATCAGAGGAGCTTGATGACATGCCAGGATGACGACGCGAAGACATGATGGTGGTTAGACTTAAGGGTTAGGGCATGGGACTGATATGATTAAGTTCCAAATGTTGACGTGATATTAGGTCACATGATTATATGCGCTATATGCGCAACAAGAAGTACAAAATTAATTCTACAGTTACAATGTGAGTGCGTGCAACCAGAAAATGCCAGCTGACTTTGAATTAAAATCACGTGATTTTCTGGACACTTGCACGCAGTGATGATTCTACACCCAAACCTATTGTAATTAACACTCATAAATCAAGTTGGTGAGTGTCCTTTCTTTTTGCTTTGCTTAAACACCCCTCCCTATGAAGTCCGGTATGGCCCGTCCCCGCCCTGAGACTGAGTAGTGGAGCACCACTCCCCCTTCCACCACATCCACAAATTTTGACCGTTTCCGTTTTTTTTTGCTCACTTTCGTTCCTCAGGCAATTGTGGACATTTCTCTATCCGACTACTCAATCCGACCCCTTCACGCATCCTTCCGCGATTTCTTCATGGATGAACCATCCAGTGGAGAGTTTTTTTATCGACCTGTCAAAGGTGCAACATGACCTTGCACTCGTGTCACTTTGAGTGATGGAACACGGTCTTCGCTTCAATATCTGTGATTTAAAGTTGTCGTATCTATCTAATAGCGAGGATCCCAGGCTACAAGAACGAATCCAAAAATGCATCCCCTTATATCTGTCATATTCATCTCGATTTTGGACGTCACATGTACAAACCACAGCCTTTGACAAGGAACTCGCGAAAGAAGTGAAATTTTTATTCGACCACGAGCGGCTGTTTTTCTGGCTCGAGTGCTGCCCTTCCGCTCATTCTCATGTGGCTAAAGGTGAGTACATTGCTTCTAAGTGCCAAGTAAAGTGCTGACACGCAACCCGGTGTTCATTCAAGTCTTCAGTGGCATCATTTTACACAGTACACCACATCTATATGTATCAACACTCCCATTCACGCCTGCCAACTCGCTGCTACCAGGAACGGAGGTGTACAAGTTATATGATTGTATCCTCTCTGCGCCGACCCCAAGTGGGCTTACATGCACTTGTCCATTGTTGCTGCTCTCACAGACCCTCTTCCCATTCCCATCTTGCAAATCTCGTCACTTCTTGGCCCTGGTTTGGGCAGGGATGTGCAGACAATGCTGATACAGCTACGGTCTGTCATAGATATCCCTACAGACAGCACTCACCCTGTGAATATCTATCACTCATCCGTTCACGACTACGTTTTCGACCCCTCCAACTGCAGCCTCCCTCAAGTATGCGATATCACATCACCCCACTCCCTACTCGCACAGTCGCACTCCTTCTCCAGGTGATGATCACATTGTCAGTGTTTGGTTAGTATTTGGGTGATCGTTGTATCATCAGCCAATTGGTCTCGCCTATGAGGCTGACTGCTGATGGTCATTAATTCTCATGCATCTCAACGAGCGTTTTGATTCCCACCTTTGCCTGATTGTACTCATTTCATCTACCACCCAACCCATCCCGTTATTCAGGCCACATGTAAATTACTTTAAAAATAACAGAGCTAATCTTCTGAGCTATCTTGTCATGTGCTGTCGTCAATTATAAGGTTGCAAAGCTATCCTCCTCGAACTCATTCATCACATCCTCCCCATCTTCCGGACCAAAGTCATCAACATCATTGTTGGTTTCTTCACCTGCACCATCCTTGTCGAGGACTTGATCAAGGCCAGAGTAACCGTATTTGTCCATCTCGTCAGCAACAGTGTCGTCTACCATCACTTCAAAGGGAGCTGGAACTTCATCCCCGTCCTTGTCATCCATGCTGTCTGTCTCCTCGCTATCATCTGCTTCCTCCTCGCTGTCACCCACCTCGTCTCCATCCTCATGCTCATCCATATCCTCGTCTCCTTTGAAGGCCTTGTCAAACCCAGGTAGATGGTGCTCTTTCTCCCATTGAAATGGACTGTTATCCAGGTCATCCCGATCGTCAAGCAAGCAGGATGTCTCTCTCCGTGTGGTTTTGTGCCCGACACCTCCTCCGCAAAAGCACATGAACATATCTCTGGTCAACAAACCTGGTAATTTTTTAGTCTTAATGCGTGTTGTTAACGGGAAATAACTGACATGTTGATGCAGTACCAGTCCCAATCCTCATCCTTGTCAGCTGCTTGACGAGCAATGGACAGTCCCAACAGAGCAGTTGTACATTGATATCGAAAGGCTGGGATAAGTTGAACACCACGAACTACAAGGTCAGGATCAAGGAACCCAAATGCTGATTCATCATCTCCATCGTAAAACCCAACCCATGGCAGTCGTTTTGCAGCCCAACCTGTTGGTGCAGTGATGTCACGGGCAAACCAGCGGACCCACAAAAAGTCAACGCGCTTTATAGAGGGATGTGCACCTGGTCTCATGTAGCGGGTATTGACGTGAAACACTCCAATAACTCGAGCATACCAGTATGGATGGGAGTCTTCCTGGTCACGAGCAAGAACCATGATGTCTGCATGTGTGCGGGGATTGAGGGAGTCCTGAGCACGCCGCAAGTCATAGGTAGTGTAGTTCACACGAAGCACTTTGTGACTGATAAATTCGATTGTTGATAATTGCAACAGAGTTTCGTTGTGCCGCACTAAATGAAGTCTCGTCTCCGTCATAGTCCAGTCCTGACAAGTGACCCAGCAGGTGATCTTTGAGACAGTGGAAGAAAATTCTAATTACATCCAGTGAGCAAATACATTTGTCGTTTTACGAGTTTCAGAGACCTACCTTTGTGGCCTGGTCATTTCTGTTCTTTCCAAGCTAGGAAGAAATATCCCAGTAATGTTTCTGTGACGAGGACATCTGGTAGTGTATCTCCAGGCGAGTAATGCGGCAGTGGGTCCTGGTCAACGAAATGAAGAGATGGACAGAGATCTTCAGTCTCAGGCTGTGCGTGATTCTCTTGTGCAGCTGCCCTTTCACGGTTCACCTCTTTCATCCTTTGCAAAATGCGCTCACGACGCTGAAGTCTTGCAATTCCATGGACAAACTTATTCTTGTTGGTCTGTGCATAAAAGTGCTTGACTCAGCGATGTTCAAATTTGCCCTAACACTACCATTAGTGGATCATTAATTATTCATAAATTCCAATACTCACCATTTGTGTAGAGTAGTTGTCCGTAGTCCCATACTGCCAGATCGACTTGACGTAGTCTCCAAGAGCATGGAGTTTGTAAGTCGAGAGGTTGAGGAGCCGTTGCTTGGAGGGGCCATCACCTTCAGCATCAGTATTTGTTCCTTCTGACCATTTTGTCTTTCCTTTAGATGCTTTAAGACACCTGACGCCGTGCACGAGTAGCAAATTTTGTGCAGGTGTTGTCACAGAATCGCCAAAGAGCCTTTCCTAGCCTTGTCGTATAGTTGTCAAAATGATAGAGTGTTGTCTCCGTGTGCATACGAAGCTTCCTGAATGCATGCCAGGTGGCTAGCTCAAACAGAAGGTTGAGGATTGAGTTGTTGAACAGTTCCGGTAGAAGACCATCAAATACTGGCATCGCACACTGCCAGCATTGATCAGCATGTCAGCAGCTGTATTACTTATATTCCTACCTGAAGCAGGTCTTCGAAATCACGCGCTGCGAGTTTCGTAAGACCTGACACATTGTCACTAAACTTGCAGATGGTGTTGCGGCCAAATGTTGGTATGAGACGATACCTAAATCATGATGGACATGCGAATATACAAGACAAAACGACTTACCGCTCATTGAGATCTTGCACAGCAGTACCTCCATATGAGTACAAAATTCGGAGAAGATGAGTAAGGGTTGCCTTCCATACTCCCAACTCAAACTCGTGCATAAATTTGGGCACAAGCTTCCCTGAAAAGGCATTCTGATACTCATAGTTAGTCAAATTTGAAAGCTCAATTCAAATCATACATACACGAATAGGTGCCACAGAGGTAGTACTGATGATTCTCTCAATTGCAGAGCTGACTACACTATAGCCTCGAACAAATATGAGTTCACAGGCTTGTTCAATGAGACTACGCCATGGATGATTGTCGACTCAAGAATTTCTGGTGCGCTGTCGTCGATCAAACTTTGTCCCTAATTTGAAAATGTTGTCTTTGCTAACAAGACACCTGGGCATGGACACTTCCCAAGGAATTTCATGCACGCAAGTAGAACCCTGACATTGTGGAGATTAGTATGGTGCGATCAAGTAAGATGTGAAACAGACTTCTCTGGATAATCAGCAGAATAAGTGAAAAAACGAGGAAACACACAACAAGAGACTCCATCAGGGAACTTGACAAAGCCATGTTGATATGCATCTATGAAATCTGCATCGATCAGGAAGCGCCAAATGGCCTGCATTAATTCACATTTGCAGTGCATGAGCACCGCTCCCGTTGCACTACAACCAAAAGTCTTCTTGTAGAAGTCTTGGATGGTATCTGATAGCTATACACATAATTAGTTCATGTCTCGAGTTCAAATAGTAAAGACAGACCTTTGGAATATATGTGAGATGATGTGCTGCAAATGATGTTGGCTTGCCGCGAATATACTTTGACTGATTGCCAATAAACAAGTATATCAGCCACAGAGAAGCATTCCCGAAACTTGCTAGATGAGTAGGGTCCGACCAGAGCATGATCACACCAATGACAGTTTCCAGGTTACAGCCTGGCTAATTTGGCTGCGAGTTGAGTTTCTCATGCTCTTGAAGCATGGTGTCAGACATATACAGCTCAGTAATGATTCTCTCTGGAGGTTTGTCGTCGTCAGGCTGCCAGAATAGTTTGTATGGCTTTGTGTGAAATGTCTTCGCTGCAACCTCCTGGTATGCAGATTTGAGCACTTCCAATGGCTTGCGGTAATAAAGCCCATTAACTCCAAATTCAGGCGCACAATCTTCAGAAGAGAACTTCTCTTTTTCGCACGGAAGTTGGATCTTCACTGAGGTCTCGTGCCATTCATCGGAGGAGAATATTGAGGACGCAGGGTCATGTTGGGCCTTCTCAAGATGTGATGCCTCCCTAGATGCATTAAAATCTAGCAAATCCTCTCGGCAGAAATTGTCCGCTAAAATGACATCGTTGACTAAACGATTGAGATCTTGCAGTGATTTCGAGATCGACGAGTTGTAAAACCATGTCATGAGCTGAAAAACAGTGGCATTAAGGAATGGTGCAAAGTAGTCATGGTGGACTGCCTCGAGTGATTATCTGAAGCCAGCATACCATGGCCATTCATAATCGGTGTCCCCATCAACATGCTGGAACATTGAGGAGTCGCAAAGTGCGTCAAAGTAGGCTGAATGTTCGGGGTCATATGTTGGAAATGAATGAGGGTATTCACGAAAAAGGTCGAATGTGTCTGTATCAGTGCAGAGCCACTCAGGATGCTCTGCATAGCTACGATGAGATGATCTGTCATCAGATTCCATCTCAATATCTGGTGGGTCTCCAAGCGCTGATACAGGCTCGTCTTAATCAATGGGAGGTGGGGCCAGGATTGGTAGGACTGGGACTTCATCGCGATAACGCATGGGGAGGTGGATTTGTCAATTTGGACGCCCTGATGGCCGTGGCTCCATTTCAATGTCTGGCACCTCCTGTTCATATGCAAATATTTTCGTGAATATCAGGTTCACATCTAATGACACACAACACTCACATCCACTCGAGGCTGGCGTAGTTGCTGTAGGCGCTCCCGCTCTTCTTCACGTTGTTCTTCCTGCCAGCGTTCATCTTCCAAACGAGTAGCTTCAGCAATCGCTTCCCCACGCTCGCGCTGCTCAGCGAGAGCTGATGTGGTGGCTATATCATGTATCTTGCAGTATCTACTCAGGTGAATCAACAGGCCGCGATTGTGCACTTCTACATTGCAGTTTGGACACTGTACCATCAAGAGAAAAGTGAGTAACAAGACAAAGATTGAGTGGGGCAGCGTGAGCAGCAGCGGAAACATGCTGCAATTGCGGCCTTAAATGCAAGTTCCTCGCAACAAGATCCGCAGATTGATTGCGATAGGATAAGGTCCGGGCAGATAGCCTGGATGACGGTCAAGATCAGTTCACAATCAAGCTCCTGTCCTTCTGCTCAGTGACAAGATACCAAAGATAGCGCTCATCTCAAGATGTGGAGCTAAGAGAGGGTCAAGTTCACTCTAGAACCATTCATTCGGACTGAACTGCACGTTTCACACCATTGATGAGCAAAAACACTGTATATTATAGTTATAGCGCATATAATGAATTGAGACCACATGGATGTTTATGACCTCTCGGAGAGGCAGCTTGAGATTTTGCAAAATGAGATGACATGAAGGAATAAACATTGGACATACCGTACAATGATGGGATCCTGGTATGTTACACAGCTTCGAGGAAGTAGGGTTGAAGTAGACATCGAAAATGTGACCACTGAGATGTTCGATGGAGTCGTCGAATGGCAGGACGTGTATTCACTTGTCGTGAATGATTTCTTGCTTCTCTGACACGTGTTCAAACTTCCGTTGAACGTGTGGGCTCTCATCCATGCAACTTGGGGTCTGAATGCTTGGCATGGCCACTGAGGTTAGTGCATATCAAAATATCAAAATAACATACCATTGCCCACACAGATGAAGTTTCCCTCGCATCCCCATACTAGACAGTGCCAGTCTTGAAATGCCTGGCGTGAGGTTGAGGGAGTCTAGCAATGCCTTGCAAGACGAGCAGGCACATCTTGCACGTTGTCAAACGAATTGATTCACACCTCGGAAGGCATCACAAGGTCGTGGGAGATTCTCCGGACCTTGCCGGCCCTCGCCAGATTTGGGCACTTTTGCTGATGTATCTAATCAGCTCTGAAATATTCTCTCAAGTTCACTGCTTGGTGTTATCTTCTGCCTCCAACAAGCACATATCATTTGAGTTTAATCTGGTTTATACAAGGGTAATTGGACGAGTCTGTCCTATAGCAGACCTGTTCTTCCCTCAGGTCTTCCCATGTCTTTGTCTTGGGCCTTGCCCTATAGCCCCTGCGGCTTTTGCCCTGTGCACTCCTATCGCCCCTGTGGCTTTTGCCCTGTGCAAACCGGCATGACAAACATGCCGAGGGCAATACTCATTGCCACCTCCTTTAGTGGAGTTGACAGTCTATGTCTAGCGAGATGGAGTCGAATTGGCTCTTTGCCTTTTCTCACTCGAGTTTCTCGTCTCGCTAGGTACGCTGTCTTTATTTACTGTATGGCCTTTTCTCACTCGAGTTTCTCGTCTTGCTAGTATAGCACAAATTTGCTGCACTATTTATTACATCGAAATCTTTGATCTCTCATGTCCGAGCATGCTGAATCGTCTTCCCAAACTGCCTCATCCTCCTCTACCTTTCCTTCCGTTAGAGGAGTCCATTTCAACCAACAAGCAGTTAAAGAGTGTCTCGACATTATCGACCAATACAAACGATCCAATATTGAGAAAGGAGACTGCCATCCTCGAAGTTTACAGAATTTTCCAGGAAACGGTCTCATCATCATCTTCACTTACCCAGACTCAGTTCGGAGCTGGGTTCAGTCACTTCTTGGAACTCCTTGACAGGGCAGGACCGTCCCAGTCAATCAATGAACATCACCAATCAGAGGGAAGAGAGGATGAAGAGAGATTATCCAGTCCAACCTCACCTATCCAAGAGGAAGAGAGATTTGGGTCTCGAATTCTTCCCCGGGAAGGATTGTGTAAACGAGAAACAACAGAAGAGGCAGAGAGTGGGGAATCAGATGAAGGAGATGACTATGTACTCAGAGGCAAGCGTCGCAGGCTTACCTCTGAGCGACTCCAATTCTATCCTTGGCTTCACCCGCAAAACTTCAGACATCTCTCGAGGAAAAAGTCTCAATGGCTCACACTCGAATGTCTTGAAGAGTGGTTGGATGATACAAAATACTATCAGGGGCAGGCTACCACTACACCAGGGTGTCCATCCTTTCCCTCTTCACAATGGTCACTCCTCTTTGAGGGTCGAGCACCCAATCTCGACAAAGTTTTGTTGGGACACTACACCACTACCATTGATCCAAAACAATCCCAAGTTATCAGAAAGGGGTTTGAAATTTCCCTTACTCAACCGACCTCTACCCATCATGTCTGATCCTTTGGAGATTGGAGTGTTGCAACCGACTTGTGGCAAGACTGCCCTCACCTTTATCATGCCATGGAAAGAGTCAGATCTTCGAGAATACAGATGCTATTTTTCCTGAATCTTCTGGGATGTCCACTACAGCGTTCACTCCCGCATCATTGACTTCAACCGAGCCTGTAGACTTGAGGTTGAGGCCCGAAAATTCCTTTATTTCGATGACTTCCAACAATTCAGGAGCCTCAAAACATCTCACCTCTCATCTCTCGGAATGGTCACCTACTCCGAGCTTCAACACCTCTCCTCGAGTTCTTCCAACAAAACCTTTGGGAAAGCGCAGGGAGGAGGACGAAAACCGTCATGTCAGGATTCGTCCTCAAGGGGAGAAGCTTGTCTTAATTGGAACCGTGGCGCATGTGAGAAGCCACCCACCGAGTGTAACCACTTCCATGTCTGCAGCAGATGCCGTGGGTCCCACAAATGAACTGAATGCTCATTGGCAAAAGGAACTAAACGAAAGGATCGCTAAAGGGCCACATTTTCGGCGACGAATGATATGGGGAGAAAATGGTAGTGCCCTTAGTGGAACCGCTAGATGGACTGAGTCTGCTGATCCTTTACCTCGTCCCCCTGCTGATGAATATCTTGATCTCGCCACTATAAAAACCATCTCCTCTCGACCAGATCTTTTCAAAGTTCAAACTCCTGTCAATGTTGATAGGTTTGAAACTCTTCTCACCCTTGCCGATCATCCAAATCCTCCTTTCGTCAAATCTGTTTGTCAAGGGCTTCGAGAAGGTTTTTGGCCTTGGGCCGATACTCACTATGGAGTATATCCTACAACCTTGGATGTTCCGTCCCCTCCTCCTTCTTCGGATCAAGAACGAAACTTCCTTAGAGACCAGATCTTTAAGGAAGAATCAGGATATTCTCATGGTTTTGGGCCTGACCTATTACCGGGAATGTATAGTATGCCTATTCACGCGGTTCCTAAGGAAGGTGGCAAGTTCCGTCTTGTCACTAACCATAGCACCAGTGACTTCTCACTTAATTCTATGATCTTGAAGGAGGATATTGCTGGGGTCACCCTCGATAATGTCCAAGACCTTGGTGATGCTCTTCGACTTCACCACCAATCTAATCCCGACAACACTCTTCATATTTGGAAGGCGGACATTTCTGAAGCCTATCGTCACATGCCTATGCATCCACTCTGGCAAATCAAGCAGGTCGTCACCTTTGAGGGTCAGAGATGGATCGATTGGGCCAATGTCTTCGGTGGTCGAGGATCGCAACACATTTTCCACGCATTTATGTCACTAGTTATGTGGCTTGCAGGTTTTCGTCAGGCTCATCCGGGCTTTCTTGTATGTTGACGACTCTTTCTCTTTTGCCAAGGTCAAAGACATGACCTATTACGGCAAATATCACAAAATGTTGCCTTGAGACATGGTCTCACTCTTGTTACTTTGGGATGAACTTGGAATACCACATGAAGAACGCAAACAAATCTTCGGCTCACCCCTCCCGGTTATCGGTTTCGACATTGATCCGAATTCAATGCGTGTTTCTCTCAAAGATGAGTCGAAGGCAGCGTTAGTACGAGAATTGAAAGAGTTTGCGAGGCATAAGCAAAAGAGGTCTTTGAGGTATTTTGAGCATATCGCTGGGTCTCTTAACTGGGCATTAAATGTCTGTCCCCTGCTGCAACCAGGGCTGGCAGCTGTCTATGAGATGACTCGCGGTAAGACAAATTCCAAAGGGATGTTATGGATCAATCACAGTATCGTCGATGAACTCCAGTGGGCCGCCTTTCATCTTGAGCATTCAAATGGGATCTTCTTCTTCAAGTCGGTCTCGTGGAATCCCAGGACACTTCCAGATAATGTGCTCCAGGTCTTTTGCGACGCTTCTGGTACTGGCTTAGGCTTCTGGTATCCAAGTCTTAATCTCAGTTTCCAATCTCCCCTTCCTCCTCAATCTCCTGTAGAAGATATTTTCTTCTATGAATCACTCTGTGTCTCCTCGGCTATTCACAATGCTGTCACTCGGGTGTTGATTGATGGTAGACTCGCCA